CTATGCCGGTCCATGTACCGCGTAAACATGTGAATCTGGGGACCCATCTCTAAACGGTGATGTGGCGCATTCGATCCCTTGATCGCGGGATTTTACATAATTGTGTTTTCAGAAATGATTCAACCTGCAGAGATTTTTGTGTTCTTTCAGAAGATCACTCATTGTCTTTGTTGTCCGAAGAAGTGAATGTTAGCTTTGGATCGGAAGCAAGGTGATTTGAGTTGTTTGTTGTTTTCTCTGTTTTGTTGTTTTCTTTCTTCCAAATCCTACTGCAGCCTTGTCTAGTCTATGGTGTATTATATGACACTAGGCAATCTACAAGGTACTTGATATGAAAGGATGATCTTAACATTGATGCAACTCTTCTTCTCGAGCTATGTATTGTTTCTTAAATTTTTGTTGCAGTGAAAATAATAACTTGAGTCGTTCCTTTTGCGGTTTCAATTCATCTCATCGACCACTAGATACGGTTCATGAGGAATGTGAAAGTCAGGAAAGTACAACCCTCAGCTCCGAGACAGCAGGCCCTCCTACTGTCAAAACCAGGATGTAAATGATTTCACCGCTTGACCTTAGAATGGTAATTTGTAGGCGAGAGGCATTAGTGATGCGCTCTTTCCATGTCTTCTTGCTGCTTACCATTAGACAGCAATCTGACTTTGTGCCGAACTTGCGTTCTGCCACGCGTACTCGCCACTGCGTATGGCTTCAGTATAAATAATATGTATAATAGATGCCGCTTGCTGGCGGCTTTGCCATTTTTGACCTGCTTTTTTGCTTTCTCCATTGATTTGAAGTGGCTTCTCCAACGTGGACAAGTTGTACTGCCTCAAACCACCAACCAAGCTGTTAGAACTGACAAGGGAGAACTTGAAGAAAAAAGGATGGTCGAGGATATGTCGGGTGGGTGACGTATTGGATGGTTTTTGTAGTGCACGCATTACTAATTGTTAGGTAGGTTAGATGATGTATTTGCTATTTATAACTCAAAACGCGTGGTCACACGAAGCGCAAGTCCGGCACAAAGCCGGGATGCTTTTATGATAAGTGTCTTTTCTTCTTTTCAAATCTTAAATCGTTATTGATTATATGCTGCGAGGTATTCTTTGTCGATTGCATGGCTTCACGTCATACATCCTACCTGAATCGAACTCTCGGTATCATTCAAAGATTGTCGTTTATAAGTACTTTGAACCTCAAGCTTTGTGGTCGTCATTTGTAGTTCCGGTTCTTGAACCTTCACCTGGAGGGCTTCTGTCGTTTCGAGCACTTTTTCGCCTTGCAGTGATTGTTGAGTTGGTCGCAGATTTTATCGTGAGGCATCCCTATTCCGGTTGAGCTCCTACATTTCTAGAATCTCTTCATTTTTGTTTGATATTTGTGCTTGAATGATACTACTGTTGCCTCAGTTTGTGACGTTGTCATCGAAATCTCCATCGACTTATCAATTTCTCGCCATTTCAGCGACATCTTTCAATTGTTTATGGTCGTTGTTTTTTTTTCAATAGTTACATACATGTTTTTAGTTTTTGATAATTAAAGAGATTTGATTAATTATCGAGGTTAAAGTAGGTGTAAAAACGGCCTCAATATCGGCATGGGGATAAAGGCGCACTCTTTAAAGATGTCTTTTCGAGCTTGGTCTTTATACTTCTTAGTCACAACTTTTGAACTGCTAATATAATCCTGTATGTTCTATGAGGCGATAAATTCTAGCTGTTAGCGGCTGCCAGTGAATCCCTTTTGGTGCCAGCTGCATGATCGGATCGATAAAATTCTCTTAGTTACAATAAATGATTTCATGACCAGAAGTTACGTTGGCTATACCTTTGTGTAGACACCTCTTTTGAATGAATACACAAGTACCTTTGGAGATTCGAACGCAGCCGAGTAGGGTGACAGTAAATCTGTGCGGCATTCCTATTGCAACGACCCTATAGAATTTTTGTGGACGACAGCAATCGCACCACACACGCTCTCTTTTTAAATGAGGCCCATTTCTAGTCACTGTCACGATCTCTAGTTTATTTCACAACAGGAACTCATTTTAGGTACGACGGTTAAAAGCCAACGAATGCTCTGAAGGTGTGGGGACAGCTTTCTGTCCGGATATCTTCTTACAAACTCTTCCGTCAAGACGGCTGTTCCTTGCACGTCCAATAGTATGCGTGCATCGGCCAACGTAATGGATAAAACCAAGAATAGTAATAGCAGCTCAGAGGCAGGGAAGCGGTGGTCGAAGGCTTTCAACGGGTTGCTTCATGTCAAGGTAAGACTTTTCCATGAGAAATACGGTGAATATCAAGAGAACATCCTTATATTGTCTGTCATGGGGAATGGAAATGAATTACGAAAACTCATTCGGCGTATCATGGAAAATGAATTTTTTTTGGAAACGTTATTTTTTTGGTTAGGTAGGCCCTTGCTCGATTACCGTTAATACTCTTGTAGAATTGATCCACCTGAATCGCCACCTTCATTTCTTTTTCCTTTTTTAGTACCTTGCACTCATCAAAGAAGTTCTGCTGCTTCTGTATGTGTTGCGAGCCATTCATGCTAACCTTGAGCTCGATGTGCTTTGTTACGATACCACACCGACTACCTCCGAAATCTTCCCGAAAGTCAAAATATGTTTGTAAGTGTTGCGCTTATTCAGTTTTTAACCCTCTGTTTTCACTCATTGTACATGTTCTTGAATTTTGTAATAGGAATAATGAACAAGAATCAAGTAAAGCTGGAAATACGGAGAATATATTTTTCAAAGAAGTTCCTCTGGTGTCATTTTATTTATTTGTTTATCATTGCACTCATTGGTGCGCTACGTCAACAACAGAGTGGGTTAGTTCTGGTAGAATGATCGACAAAAAACGAATCAAAAACTATTAGGTTGGTAACTTTGAAATGTCGCTTCCTTTAGTGGCTTTGTTTCTCAGCTGAAACTCAACCTCGTAATATGGGAGACCATCCATTCGAGAGAGCGATTCAGTGCGCATATTGCGAAACCTTAGCCGTCAGTGAGCGGATGTTCTTCGAGCCAAAACTTTTGCTCGAAGATGATTGATCAGAAAACATCGCCTGAGCGTGTATATTCAAGCAAGGAAAAACAGCCAACGAATCTCCCTCATTACG